GGGGATCAGAAGGAAATTGCTTGTTTGCTTTCTGTTTACTGGGGCTCTCCTTCTCTTTGATGCTGGTCTGGGGTGGACGCCAGCATGGGTGTCTGTCTGGCAGCCACCTTCCTTTTATCTCCGTGGAGGTTCCGGCGAGCGGCAGTCTCTCGCGAGGGAATGAGAACGCTAAGCTAGGCATCGGGGTGGAAATATCAGCAGCCCACAGTCTGAGTTGGCAAAAAGTCAAACCAGGAGGCAGTCATGTCGACCTTCCAAACGGTGCTGTAGGGGATGAGGTCTGTCTGCTTTCTCACTCACAAACCAGCTGGCCCACAGCCTTCTCTTCCATCCAGAGCAGGCTCATTCCCAGAATCCATCTCTGCAGCTTACGGCCAGGGCCCAGCCGTGGGCACAGGCCTTGGCCTCCGCCGCCTGTGGGTTAGACTCTCGGCGTCCTCCTGACCTCTTTGACCTTTTCTAGACATGGGCCAGACTTGCTGCTGCTGGGTCTTGAACCCCAAAGCAGGTGGGGGGGGCTGTGGCTGTCGCTCCTTGATCACCTCAGTCCAGCCCCTAAACCATCAGAGAAGAATCTCCACAGATTCCACCACAGCCGTGACCCAGCTGTCTCCAGACTTACGCTCTTTCCTTCTGGATTGTTCTAGGCCATGGCACAGTGACTGGAAAGAACAAGTGTCTTTTACAACAGGGAACAGGGAGGGCTGGTGAGGCATCCGAGGAGGGTGCAGTTGCTTCTGGAACAGGGGAGTCTCGGAGACAGACTAAGTTTATTCTGCACGATGGTGTGGACATGAGCTATTGCCGTCAAGGGAATAGCGTCGTGAATTGGATCTGAAATGGCCTCTACAAAACCTTGCCTTGAAGGCTTGATTCCCAAAGAAATGGGGCCTTTCGGTGGGTGATTGGGTCGTGAGGATTCTGGCTTTCTTGATGGCTTGGTCCGTGGATGGTTCATGGTTTCCTGGGCTTACTGGGAGCTAGTGGAAGCTTTCGGAGGGGGGGTATAGTTGGAGGAAGGAGATTCTTGGGGCCGTGTCTTTGGGGGGTGTCTCTTGTTCTTACTCACCTCTCTCTTTGCTTCCTGGCAGCCACGAATTGAGCAGCTTCATTCTGCCATGCGCCCTCTCCACCATGCGTACATGCACTCTCCTACCCCGCCTCAGTCCCAGAAACAGCAGGTGCTGACGACCACGGACAGAACCTTCCTCAAACCATAAACCAAAACAAATCCTTCCTCCTGGTAAGTTGACCATAGCAGGTGTTTTGTTACGGTGACAGAAAGCTAACATAAAGGATCAGAAAACATTTTTCACCAAGGACAATAATTTTGACCCTACAACTTCTCTCTGCTTGACCGCTTTAATGAAAAACAAGCATATTGCCCCTAGGGATGAGTGAAGCTGTTTGCCAATAAAACTTTATTTATAGACTCTGAAATTTGCATTTCATCTAATTTTCATTTGTCATGAAATACTCTTGGTATTCATGATATGCCCTTCTTTCCTTCCTCCCTCCCTCCCCCTTCCTTCCTTCCTTCCTTCTTTCTTTCTTTCCTTCCTTCCTTGTTTCTTTCTTTCTTTTTTTCTTATTACTTCCTTCCCCACCCCACCCCTCCTCTCCAGTACTGCAGCTTGAATTCAGGGCCTGGGTGTTGTCCCTTAGCCATTTTGCTCGATGCTGATATTCTGCCACTTGAGTCATAGCTCCCCTTCTGGCTTTTTTGCTCTTTAATTGGAGTCTCACAGACTTTCCTGCCCAGGCTGGCTCTGAACTGTGATCTTCAGATCTTAGTGTCCTGGGCAGCTCAGATGATAGATGTGAGCCACTGGCACCTGGCCCCTTTTCATTTTTGATAAACAATTTGAAGCTGTCAAAACCACTTGTAGCTTGTAACACTCCTAAGAAGTAGTGGGCCAGGGTAGCTGAAACAAGACTTGGTGTGCATAGCAGAGACGCTGGACCTGTCATTCTTGAAGGCTGGGCAGGGCCTGTGGGGGTTGGGAAGGGGAGCAGTGTAAATGGCAGCACACTATGTGGCTCTAACCACTAAGCCTCACTTCCTAGTGTTCTTGCAACCAGAATCCAGCTTCCAAAGCCAGAGCTGGGGCGGGGCGGGGGGGGGGGGGGGGGGG